CCTCCCCCCTCCCCCCCCCACCCCCTGCTCTCACTCATACTCTGCCCTTGGGTTTGAATCCGCTCGAGACTCTGTGGTTGTCAAGGAGAGTATGTGGGGTGCATCTGACCAAGGAGGAGGATAGACAAGGGCATGATCCTCGGTGTGGAAAAGAAAGGAAGAGAGAGCTGTAGCTGAGAAATAACTGTATGCAAGTTGATGATGATGTCTGGAGCATGAACATTTAAAAAAAAATCAGCAGAGTGTCAAGTAAGCTGGACTGCCTTGTGAATTAAGCAGATTGAATTCTAGAGAAGGGGGAAGGTGGCATCCGTTGAGTTCCAACTCCCCCCCATGATCATTGTTTGGGGTTGGAAGAGAACAAGCTCTAGACAGGATTCCATACCTCCACAGACCCGGTGTATCAGAGGGGTGGGGGAGGAGCTTTCACGCCATCAGAATAGAAAGAACCCTGGAAGTAATGAATCTTCCTTACAAGTAGCATCTGCAGCCAAGTGTGGAGGAGCCACCAGGGGTTCCAGGGGCTCAGGGACCTGCTCCGGTGGTGGCATGTTAGATGCCAGAAGACAGAATCTAGACAGACCCAAATATCAAGTGTACTTGGGAAAAGAAAAGAGCAACATCTACTTAACTGTTATAAGTCAGGGAAGTTTTTGTGGAAGAGATAGTGTTTGTTGCAATCCTAAGTAAAGGCAAAGAAGGCAGAATAAGCCTTCCTGTATATCATCAGGAGTGGTCAGAGCCTCAACCTTTTCTGTTATGTCATAAGCTGAATGAAGCCACCAAATGTCCAGGTGGGAAAAAAAAAAAGCTACTCTGGTTTGTGTAGCTTCTGGTATTTAACAATATAGTTGGTGTATTTTTTCTTATTTTTTTTTAAAAATAATACTGGAATGAAGGAAGGAAAATGCAAATTAAATATGATAACAATGCCTGTAGGTCAGCACTATTAAAATTTTGATGTAACTTTTTTCCAGTCATACGCGCTTTTTGTAAAATGGCAATATTATCTATCATTCGGTCAACATGTACCTCTTCAAGGGCCCAATGGCACACAAGACAGACAGGGACCCTGCCCTCACTTCCAGTCCCACTCTGCAATGTGATAAAGTCCGTGGTAGAGGTTATTGCTCTGGGGCCACGACAGCCCCCACATGCAAATCTGTGGGTGAGGGAAGAGTTGTTAGGGAAAAATGGCTGCTGAGAGAGAAATGGAGATTCGTTTCAACCACAAGAAACCCATTAGCTTTAGTGTTGAGCTTTTTGTTTCTGAGTGCTGGAGGTCAAGACCTGGAGACAAGTTCAAGTATATGGGAGAAGATAGAAGCTACCAGGGCGTAAGGATTCTTCCCTGCAGACCAAGATAGGATGGAAAGAGACAAGGCTACAAGAGCATAGACTTGTGAGGAGGGTTTGTTTCCAAAATGGAAGTTTTGCGGGGTTTAGGTGCTAATGAGAAGGAACCAATTAGACAGATTGACTGAAAATAGAGAGAGAATAGTGAGGAAAAGCTGGCGAAGGCTTCTCCAAGGCCAGGCATGGAGGAAGATGTCCAGAGTCGGAGAGGCAGGAGTGCCCGTGACGAGAGAAAATTCCACAGGCAGCCAGCACCAGCTCAGGGACCTGCATCCAGGGAGCCATGGAGGGAGGCTGCTAGTCGTGGGGAGCCCTTTAAAATTTACTCAGCGTCTTTGTGCTCTGGAGAAGATATTGCCCTTCATTATCCCACTCCTGCTCATAGTGTCTCAGCACCAAAGCATGGAAGCCACTGCTGAGTTTCCTGTACTTAAGATTACACGAGCACACAAGGTCCGGAGAGCCCTGTTCAGCTAAGCTGGCTTGACCGACTGAGATCTCTGTTCTCTCCTCCTGTCCCCTGCATCCCCTCATACGAACTATGCCCTGCCACAGGAAGATTCCAAGGATGGGGTGACCAAGGTCTACAAGTCAGCAATGACACACATTTGCAAGGAGACTTCCCTTTCCAAGAAGATTACCCCAATTTCATGAACCAAGAGAAATTTTGGAACTATCTCCAAGAAGTGGTTGAGCATTTTGGCCTCCTGAAATACATTCGGTTTAAGGTGAGGCGCGTTGGTGACGGGAAGTCAGCGGCTGGGGGCCAGCCTACCGGTTAAGCACAACTCCCTGGGTTTTTAGCTAGATGAATAACGCAGACCATATTCTCCTCACTTACCCTGCTGCTCAAATCAATCCTTTTACGGAAACCAATCACTAAATTGCTACTGAACTCCTCTAAATAGCCAAGTCTCCTTTTGGGTGAAATTAAGAATCCACTTTGGGAAGGAAGGAAAAGTAATTTTGTTTCACGAAACCCATTTTGTTCGTGAAATGACTACAAGTCTGAACCACAGAAATTATAAAGGGAGAGAGGTCGTTTTTCTAAAATTTTTCAATAAATCAGGAATCCTAACACATGATTTTGCCACAAATAAAAATTGACTGCTTCTGGGCACCGGTGGCTCACACCTGTAATCCCAGCTACTCAGGCGGCTGAGAGATCTGAGGATGGCAGTTCAAAGCCAACCCAGGCAGGAAAGTTCCCTGAGACTCTGTCTCCAATAAACTACTCAGAAAAATCCAGACGTGGCACTGTGGCTCAAGTGGTAGAGTGCTAGCCTTGAGCACAGAGAGACTTAGCGACAGAGCCCAAGTCCTGAGTTCAAGTCCCAGGACCAGCAAAATAGTAATAATAATAATAATAATAATAATAAATTGACTGCTTTAATCCTTCCAATGAAATGATTCTGATACCTGGCCCCTGATCTAAGTTTGTGTGACTTACTTAACTTCCTGAGAACAAGATGGCCCAGTCTTTACAGGACCTGTGCTAGAACTTGGTTTACTTAAAGACCAGACCTGGGTTCTGGCACAGTCATACCGGGCTTCTGGGCTTGGTAGAGGGTGAGTGAATGAGTGAATGTCTTCTGCTCGCAGACCACAGTGTGCAGCATCACCAAACGCCCAGACTTCTCTGAAACTGGTCAGTGGGATGTTGTCACGGAGACGGAGGGCTGGCAGGACCAAGCTGTCTTTGATGCCATCATGGTTTGCACTGGACGCTTCCTGAATCCCAATTTGCCTTTGGAGTCATTTCCTGGTGAGTCACCTCAACCTGACACCATGAATAATTCTTTTCAGTTCTTCTAGAAGAAGAAGAAAATACTGCTTTCTAATTAGGACCCCTTCCTCATGATTTGACAGCTTGATGATCACTCTAGAGAATAATATGCAGAAAATTATATTGAAATTGCAAAGAATGCTGTGGGTGCTAGATATTGCTATGATTAGTTATTACTATATAGTGTTATGGTCTTCACTTGATAATACAGAGCTGCTTCAAGTTCAAGGATCATAATCATAAGCTCTATCATAAAAGCAAAAAAGCAGGCTTTGATTTTCAGGCTCACATGATAGGTCATTTGAAACAAGACTGTAATTCAAGAATGCAAAGAAAGTGATAAGGAAACACACTAGAAAATGCACATGAAAGTGACTAAATCCACTCTTCAAAAGAGCAACCACAATCATAATCAATTACACTTCCTAGAACAGGGCTTCTCAAAAAGGAGTTTTAGAACTCCCTTCTGGAAATGCTGCTAACTTCAACATTCTTTTTCTTTCTTTCTTTTCAATATCAGAGTTTGAATTCAGTGTCTCCTCCTTAAGCTACCTGCTGGTCCCAACATTCTTTTTAAGATCTTCATGACCAGAAAAATCTCCATTTTTTAGGAGATTATTTGGAAAGCTAGTATTTATCTAAATTCAGGTGTGCAAAATAAAACTAGTCGAATAAGGATTACTAAAATACAGAAAAGTTACCCTCATGTCTCTCACTCTCTCTCTCTCTCTCTCTCTCTCTCTCTAGTGACCTTAAAAACAATTGAGTGATTCAAGTTTTGAACTCTATTTTAACAAATAAAAAAAGACTAATAAGAAGAACTGTGAATAATAAAAGTTGGGATCCTTGGCATGAAAATGAAATATAGGGCTGGGAAGGTGGCTCAGTGGTAGAGCACTTGCCTTGCATGCATGAGGCCCTGGGTCGATTCCTCAGCACCACATAAGCAGAAAAAGCCAGAAGTGGCGCTGTGGCTCAAGTGGTAGAGCACTAGCCTTGAGCTAAAGAGCTGAGAGACAGTGCCCAGGCCCAGAGTTCAGGCCCCACGACCAGACCCTAAATAAATAAATAAAGCTGATTAAAGCGAATCACAAGTAAACAGAATCTCCTGTTTTAAAATGTATTTAGCAATCGAGGAGGAGTTTAATCCATAATTTCCTAGGAAGCAGTGCTGCGAATGGCAGCAAGGCTTCAGCTTGGTGCTGTTCTGGGAGTCCCAGCCCTTCTTATAGTTTCTGCAGCGCAATGTGTCACATGTGCAAACAGACCATTGGTTAGTCTTATCGCCTAGTCAGTTGCCACATTGTGCAAAGTCCTTGTTTTTTTCTTTCTAGTAGTCTTTGCTTATATTTTTGTTATGTAGTATAGCTAGTCAGTATTTCTTAATAAGCTAATGACTTCATGGCTGAATGGCAGAAGAATGATATAATCCAGGGGAAAGTGAACCTTCAAGGGCACTGCTGCACCGCAGTGCGGCCCCGGCTGGTCTCTGGGCCGCTGGCCTCCCTGGTTCTCCCTCGCCTCTCCTTTCCCAGGCAGGCAATCGCTGCATTCACCACCGGTGTTTTCTCTATCGCCTCTCAAAACTCCCACTGTTACTACCAAATGAAGTAAAAGAAGCACAAAGTATCTGTAACATGAGTCTACAAGAACAGTTATTTACAAAACAATCTGGCACCAACTTTCTTATGGAAAATATTAATGGAATTAAAATTCAATTTGCCAATGTATCATATCCACAAAGCCCCATCCAAAATGTATTACTTTATGTGCTTCTTGGTGTTTTGAGGCAGCGCCTTGCTACGTGTACCTCAGGCTGGCCTCAAAATTATCATCCTGCCTGAGTCTCCTCAGTGCCGGGATTACAGGTATGGTATGCACCGCCACACCAGCTTAAAATGTATTTATTTTTAACTGACATGAAGTTGTACTACTTATGGGGTGCCAGGTGATGTTTTGATGCATGTATCGATTATGTAATGTTCAATCAGGATACACAAATCTATTTCCTGCAACTTTTTTTTTTATTTGTGAACATACTGTACAGAGGGGTTACAATTACATGGGCAGGATAATGAGTACATTTCTTACCAAGCATTGCAGCCTCCTCCTTTGGTTTACCCTTCACATCCCTTCCCAGCCTCCCCCCTCCCCCCCAATCCCAACCCTTCTCCTT